TATGAAGAAGTAGAGACATGTTTGCTCCTTACTTGCATTTATTTTGTAGTTTCCTCTTCCATTCTTTGTCCATATTTTTCTATTAAGACTTTTTTTGTTGAAAGGAGGTCTTACTCTGCAGCCCAGGATGACCTCAAACTCATGATCCTTCTGGTTCAGCCTTCTCAGTGCTAGTGATACAGGCCTGTCAGGGTATCCTGATTCTTTTGGTGTTGGTTTTTTTTGAGACAAGGTCTCGCTGTAGCCTCAGCTGGTTTGGAACTCACTACGTGGACCAGGCTGGCCTCCATTTCACAAAGATCCACTTGCCTCTACCTCATGAGTGTTGGGATTAAAGACATGGGCCATCAGGCTTAGTGGGTATCCTGATTCTCAACTCCCTTTTTTCTCCTCCTCCCTGCATGCAGATATGCAAGCTTCCTAACATATTCAGTAACTGTTCTTTCACTTACATAAATTATGAAAAATGCATTATTTTAAATATGTATTTTAATTTTCATAAGTCTAATCATATTAGATATTAAGTTTAAATCTATTTCTTTTCACTTAGCATAATTTAAAAAAGATCAAACATACTTAAACTAAAAAAGTATCTGCTGTTTCTTTTTGTTTAGATTTGCTAAATCTACCAAACATATCTCAAAGGATTTTCAGACTATTGAGAGACAAAGCCAACTCAAGAATGAGTGCTAGGGTAGAGTTAGCACAGGGGACTGCCAAACTAACACCCAGTTCAAGGAAGACTCCAGGGATGGAGAAATTGAGAAATAACAGAAGTGAGTCTCAAGCTGAAAATTTACGACATGTCTTAGTTATTGTACCATTACTGGGATAAAATACCCTGACAAAAGCAATTTAAAGGAGAAAGGGTTAATTTTGATTACAGTTCAAGGTTATAGTTCATCACGGTGGGAGAAGTCACAGTCGCAGGAGCATGGAGCAGTTGGTCACACTGTATCCACAGTAGTCAAGAAGCACAGAGTAAAGATAGTGGGAGACCATGCATGGCCGAAGGCCCAGCTCTGTGATTTCTAAAACTAATGGTTTTTTAAAAGAAAGTGAAGCTAGCAGCCTTTTTATTCCTTGATAACATTAGGAAATGTAGCCCAAAGTAGTCACCAAAATGCAAATGTCTTCGAAGTCTCTTAACCTTAAGGTTCAGTTTTTTGTTTAGTTATAAAGTAACATTTTCCCAAGTAGAATCATGAATAAACTTTATTTAGTTAGTTACTACTGGATAAAGTGGTAAAAGCAGATTATAACCACATTGTTGCAATACAGGAGTTCACGTAAATTGTGCTAACTTCATTTTGTACAGAGGTGACCATGTTTTAAAAGAGAGCATAAAGGAATGTGGAGTAGTGTAGAATTAAGCGACTAATTCCAGCGGGACTTTTTAAAAACGGTTTAAAACAACAAAACATCCTGACTGCGGGCACCAGGCCCTGACACTGGCCAAGAGAGAACTACAACTCCCAGCAGCCCCGGAGAAAACGAAACCTCAACTTCCGGGGCGCAGTTCCAGGTGGGCCCGCGGCTCCGGCCCGCTCCAGTCTCACTGGATTTGAGCTTCAGATGGCGGCGGGAGTCCCAGCCCCGCAAACCCGGGATTAAGTGCCCGGATAAGCTGGAGGCCGGGTCGAGAAGAAGGGGAGGCCGAGCCGTCGGCTCAGGATGCGCGCTGACGTCACGTCCTCTGGGCGGGGCCTCGCGGTCCCGCGCAAATTGAAAGGGCAGTGAATGGCTCGCAGTTGTGGTTTTCCGCGGCCGTGGTGAGTGAGCTGCGTCGCGGGCGGCTGTGGAGTCCCGGCGGGGCTGCCCTGGAGAAGACCAGACTGCGGCAAAGTGGGGTCCTGTGGGGCCGGTCCTCCGTTCGATACCGGGGTCTCGGGGAGGAAGGCGAGCCTGGGGCGAGGTCCTCCCGCGGGGAGCGTGCGGTGCTCGGGTGAGCGGGGCGGCCGGGCAGGGCCTGCTGTGCCGGGGGTGAGGCAGCAGGAGGAGCGGGCACCTGTCTGCCGGTCGATCCCCGTTTATCCCCCGAGGGGAGCAGACCATGCAGTGTCCCCAGCTGCAAACAGTGACTGTGTGTTTCCTTTAACATGCAGACCTGAGGATTCGTGCGTCTGGAACAGCTTGTGAGCCATGTTTGCGCGTTCCCGGGAGGCAGGACTTCAGTGAAGTCGCTGCTGGTGTCACCTCGGGTGCCAGAGATTTCGTCCCGAGCCCATGTGCCATATGGCGCGCAGTCACTCCGCTTATGATAAAGAGGAATATACTTGCTCGAGATTTCCTTGGTTTAGAAGAGACTTAGCTAAGTGTCACGAAATGTGTATTACGTCCGTTTTCCTCAACACGAACGAAAACATTTTTTAGAGACGCTGTCTGAAAACTGTTTTATTCAGCTTGAGGACCACCTGCGGACAGATTACCTGAGTGTTTAAACTTCAAAGGTCATGGCTCACCCCAGAACTATCGCCTAGTAGTTGCTGGGAGTGGAGTTAAGGCCTGTGAACCTCTGAAATTTGCAACGGCTGGCCCAGAGCTTTGGAGCTGTCCTATGGTGTCAGTAGGGTAAGGCCGGCTTCCAATTCTCTTTCTTCCCTTTACAGACTTGTTCTTGGGCTAGTGAGATAAAGTGGGTAAAGACTTGGGATGAAGCATGAACCTGAGTTGGAAACCCACCGGAAAGGAAAGCCAGGCACTTGCCTCTGTAATACTAGTGTTCTTACTGGCAGATGAGAGGGGTCCACAGGAGAATCCCTGGAAACTCAGCTGGAGGCCCAACTAACCTGGCCAATGTAGCCCAAACAGCAAAGGGACCCCGTCTCAAACAAGGTGAAAGTCAAAGCAACACCTGAGGTGAACCTCTTATCTCCACATGTTCACCCCAATTCACATACCAACACACACATACACATACAAAATTAAATAGAACCTGGGGGTGGGTAAGAGCGCTTGCTCTTTCAAGCATGAGAACCTGAGTTAGAATCCCCTAGCACCCATGTTAAAAAGTCAGGCATGGCTGTGTGTGCCTGTAAATCCCAGTTTGGGGAGGCAGAGACAAGTGAAGCCCCAAAACTGCACCTAGCTGGTTCAGTTGAGAGACCCTGTCTGAAGGTCATAAGGCAGAGAGCGATAAAGAAGCCACTCGGCATCCTACTGCTCTGGCCTCTGCATGCAGTACACACACACACACACACACACACATTCTTGAATAAAAAGTTGATTTTTGGTAAAAGAACTGACAGCTCCAGAATTCCCATATGGGGGACTTAGAAGGGAAATTAAAGTGTTTCTCTTGAAGCTGTATTTGCACAGCATAGTTTCATTTGTTAAAGCTTTGTTAAAGCTTTAAATAGCTTCAACAGAGTTTGATGATGTTTCCCTAGGCACTGCCATGCTTATAACCAGATTGTTTATTGTTTGGAATAATGCATTTTAGTGGTAGTGGATTTCTGTCTTAAAAAAGTACAAATCCAAGGGGCATGGTAGCTCATGCCTTTAATCCCAGCACTTGGGAGGCAGAGGCAGGTGGATCTCTGTGAGTTCGAGGCCACGATGGTCTCCATAGAAAGTTCCCGGCCAGCTGGGGCTAAAGGGAAACCCTGTCTTAAAAACACCAAAAAAAAAAAAAAAAAAGGTACAAATCCATTTCCATAATTCAGTTTATTTTTTAGTTAAATGTCTGCCTTTCTCCAAACTGTTTTGTTTCTAGTCCTATGCAACTTTGCATGTTGTTCCTTTAATGCCTTTTTAAAGCACAGGCAATGTGATACCATAGCATGCACAATTTTGGTTTCTGGGTGGGTGGGGGTGTTTTGTTTTGTGAGACAGGGTTTCACTGTAGCCTCAGCTGACCTGGAACTCATGCCGTAGACCAGGTTGGTCTTGAACTCACAGAGATTCATCTCCCTTTGAGTTCACCACACCGCAATTTTGTACGTTTAAACACTACCTTTTTGAAACAAGACAAAACAAAACAAAAAAACCCTTTTAACAGCTTCTGTATACATAGGACTGTGTTAAGAGATTAGAACCCACCTTATGATTCTAAGCTTGAAAACTTTGGAAAGAATAGCAATTAAGCAACTATCCAGTGGTATTAGAGATAGTGTTCATGATTAATGCAAATTCTGGGCTATGGAAGTTGGCAGGGAGAAGGCCAGTTATTAGCTAACTAATGGTTTCTGTGTGAGGCTCCACACTGGTTTTATTTTTCTAAAGCTTTTTGGTAAATCCCTTTTTTGATAAATCCCTTTTGCTTTAAATATTGCTGTTTTACCTTTTTCCTTTCATATTGTATAGTTAATTTGGCAGCATGGGGATCCAAGGATTACTACAGTTCATCAAGGATGCTTCTGAACCCATCAATGTGAGGAAGTACAAAGGACAGGTAGTAGCTGTGGACACCTACTGTTGGCTCCACAAAGGGGCTATTGCTTGTGCTGACAAACTCGCCAAAGGCGAACCTACGGATAGGTAAGGATAAACTTAACTGACTTTGAGAACTAAATGATTTGATGTTTTCTGTTTTTGAGACAGGATTTCATGTATTCCAAACTGGCTCGGAGCTTGCTTTTTTGTTTTTGTCTTTTTGAGACAGGGTCTCCCTGTAGCCCCAGCTGTCCTGGAACTCACTATGTAGACCAGGCTGACCTTGAACTCACAGAGATCGGTCTGTCTCTGCCTCCCAAGTGCTGGGATTAAAGGCATGCGCCACCACACCTGGCCTCAGAACTTGCTTTGTAGCCAAAGGTGACCTTGAATTTCTGATTTTCCTTCCTCTACCTCCCAAGTACTGGGATTCTAGGCTTGTACCACCACATCCAGTTTTATGTGGTACTGGGTATCAAGCCCAGGACTTCGTGCATGCTAGGCAAACACTCTTTGATTTGTGCTACACATTCAGCCCCTCGGTGTTTCTTTTATTTATTTTTTTTCAAACATTGTTCACTCAGTGCTAGAATTTATGAGAGTATATATTTAGAATACTACCAAACTTCCTTCTGTGACAAGCCTAATTTGCATTCTTGGTAATAAGTCAGTAGCAGGATGCTGACAGGCAAGGACCAGAGATTGTCTCTTTTATTCTTTACCTAAGGTAAACATTTTTCTAAGGCAAGTTTTTTAGCAATGTTTTCAGAATCCATGATGGTTTCTGATCATGCTAATCTCTGTTAGCTAAAATCTGTTAGCAAAATGAGGCAAAGGGATGATATGTTCCGACTTCCTCCACTGTAGCCAAAATGTAGCCCTGTTGGCATCCAGTCTCAGCTCTCTGGTTCCTCTGCTTCCTCCATTCCTCCATGGTCCTCTGCTCTTGTGTTTTGTTTAATATGCATGTGTATTGTGTGCACAGGTATACTGTTTTTATCCCTTTTCCCTTTTTTTGCATTTATTTATGTGTCGACTTGGAAATAAAGAAGTATCATTTTAGCTTTAGAAGAATAGCTCACAAGTTTTTCATTACTACTGTTAGAGTTTAAGTAGGTTTTTTTTGTTGTTTGGTTTTCGGTTTTTTGTTTTTTCTATTTTTGAGACAGTGTTTCCTGTAGCCCAGGTGAGCCTCAAACTCACTTTGTAGCCTAGGATGCCCCTGAATTCCTGGTTCTCCTGCCTCTACCTCCCAAGTGGTGGAATTACAGTCCTGTGCCACCATGCCTGACTTTTTTTGAATAGTTCCTTATGAGAGAAAACTTGGTTTCTAGTTTTAGTAATTCCTGATTCTAAGTTTCGATTAATTTGAAGAGTTCTTAAAAATATAGGTAATATCCAGGGCTGGAGAGATGGCTGGAGAGTGGTTAAGAGCACTTGCTATAGATGTGATGGTCCATGCCTGTCACTCCAGGCAGGAGGATTGCCTTGAGTTCCAGGCCAGCACTGTCTCAATAAATAATAATAATTACAGGGCTGGAGAGATGACTCAGCAGTTAAGAGTACCGACTGCTTGGGCTGGAGAGCTGGCGCAGCCGTTAAAGGCTCAGGCTCACAACCAAGAGTACTCACTGCTCTTGCAGAGGACTCATGTTCAATTCCCAGCACCTACATGGCACCTAACAACCATCTGTAACTCCAGTTTCTGGGGAATCTGATGCCTTCTTCTGACCTCTGTGGGCATTGCATAACATAGGTGCACTTACACACATGCAGGCAATGCACTCACACACATAATTTTTCTAACATTTTTTTATAAAGTAATAAAGTAAAAACGAATTTACGAATTAAAAAAAAAAAAAGAGCACTGGCTGTTCCTGCAGAGGACCTGGCTTCAGTTCCCAGCACCCAAAGATGGCTAAGAACCATCTGTAGCTCCAGTTCTAGGGGATCCAATGCCCTCTTTTCTGGCCCCTGTGGACATTGCACAATAGGTGCACTTATATGCACAAAAAACATACACACATTAAAAATAAAAATTAGCTGGGTGTGGTGGCGCACACCTTTGGTCCCAGCACTTGGGAGGCAGAGGCAGGTGGATCTCTGTGAGTTTGAGGCCAGCCTGGTCTACATAGCGAGTTCCAGGCCAGTTGGGGCTACAGGGAGACCCTGTCTCGAAAAGACAGATGTTTTTTGTGCATATAAGTGCACCTATTGTGCAATGTCCACAGGGGCCAGAAAAGAGGGCATTGGATCCCCTAGAACTGGAGCTACAGATGGTTCTTAGCCATCTTTGGGTGCTGGGAACTGAAGCCAGGTCCTCTGCAGGAACAGCCAGTGCTTCGTTTTTACTTTATTACTTTATAAAAAAAATGTTAAAATTATGTGTGTGAGTGCATTGCCTGCATGTGTGTAAATGCACCTATGTTATGCAATGCCCACAGAGGTCAGAAGAAGGCATCAGATTCCCCAGGAACTGGAAAAAACTTTTTTTTTTTTTTGGTCTTTTTGAGACAGGGTCTCCCTGTAGCCCCAGCTGGCCTGGAACTTGCTATGTAGACCAGCCTGGCCTCGAACTCACAGAGATCCACCTGCCTCTGCCTCCCAAGTGCTGGGATTAAAGGCATGCACCACCACACCCAGCTTTAAAAACTTTTTTAAGGTAAGTGATGAAATCCACAGGTCTTGCTCCATGATAGGTGCTTGTTAAATGCGAATCAAACTAAAAACATACTTAGTATCTGCTCTGTGCTAAAATTTTTCCCTGTCAACTTAGCAATCACATTTGGTATAATTGCTTTTCTTTTTCTTCTCCACCTTGTATAGGGGTATTAACCAGAAATGATCACCACTTTGGAAAATTTGGATGAGCTTATGATAAACGTTTATGGTCATTATAAAGATTGATGGAAATAAAATGAGTGGACAGTGTCTGGTGCTTGTATTCTTTCTAGTTAAAAAAGTGAGACCCTGTCTCAAACAGAACAGCAACAAAACCCCATCAAAAAAAAAAAAATTCTTCAAATTTATTTCATCTCATCTTAAATAAGCAAAAATACTGTTTTAAGAGATTCAAAACACTTAAATGCATTTTCTTTTTCCTCCCCATAGGTATGTAGGATTTTGTATGAAATTTGTAAATATGCTGCTATCTCATGGGGTCAAGCCTATTCTTGTATTTGATGGATGTACTTTACCTTCTAAAAAGGAAGTGGAGAGCTCAAGAAGAGAGTAAGTTGACCCCCTACTTAGCATCTAATGTAATGGTGCCAGGATCAGGTGCTGTAGACCATGTGATCTAAAATCTTGATTTTGTGAAGTTCGTGTATAGCCTCATACATGAACAAGTTTCCTGAGATGTTCATGTTAGATTACTGTCACATTTAAAAATGATCTTCTCAGGGGTTAAGAACACTGACTGTTCTTACAGAAGACCCAGGTTCGAATTCCAAGAGCCTCTTCTGTTCTCCGTGGGCATTGCACAACACGGGTGCACTTACCTACATGTAGGCATAACACTCATACACATAAAATAAAAAAAAATAAATTTAAAAAAAGCTTTAAAAAAAATTATCTTCTTTAGTTGTTTGAAACAGGGTCTCTATAGGCCCAGCTGTCCTGGAACTCGTTATATAGAACAGGCTGACCTCACAGAGATTTGCCTCCTGAGTGCTGGGACTAAAGACGACTTCTACCATGCCTGGCTCTAAAGATAACTATCTTTTGACCTAAACCATTGCTATGGGAAAGTCTTATGGCAATCGTCTGTACACAGACACATCTGCATTCATTATTGATCACTTGCTCTGCTAGCATGGTGGCACATACCTGTAATCCAAACACTTGGAGGGTGGAGGTGGAAGGGTCAGGATTTCAAGGTCATCATCTACTTGGTGAGTTGAAACCAGCTTGAGCTACATTGAGACTGTCTCAAAAAAAAAAAAGAAAAAAAAGTCATTTTCTCTTTGTTTTTTAAAAGATTTTGATTTTTAATTGTGTGTGTGTGTGTGTGTGTGTGTGTCTTTGTCTTTGTGGGGTTTGTACATGTGAGCACAGTGTACCTTTGAGGCCAGAAGAGGGCTTCAGATGCACTGGAGCTCCCTTGACATAGGTGCTGGGAACCTAAGTTGGGTCCTTTGCGAGAGTAATCAGTTTGTGCTCCTAAGTGGAGCCATCTCTCCAGCTCCTCATTTGCTCTTTGGTCTGGGCTAATGTGCTTGTGCATCTGATGTGCAGTTTCAAATGCATTAAACTTATTCATTCTAACAAAATTGCTACAGTTGCAGTTTTATTATAATTTTGAGTCAGACTCTTAAATATTTCTTTGTGTTTAAGACATGGTCTTTCCTTGCAGAAGGCGACAAAGCAGTCTTCTTAAAGGGAAACAGCTGCTTCGAGAGGGGAAGGTCTCAGAAGCTCGAGAGTGCTTTACTCGCTCCATCAACATCACACATGCCATGGCCCATAAAGTAATAAAGGTGAGTCAAAAGTATAAAGCTACAAAAATGAAGGGCTGAGCTCACTTAAGGTCATGGTAAGTTGCTTGTTAATGGGAGAGTGAGGAAGATGGGAGAAAAATTGTTAGGTCAAGTAAAGGGCAGATGTCAGAGAAGAGAGAGGGGTACTGTTGAAGGAGAGTCCTTGGAAGGTAAGTGATGCTTTCTTTCATGGACTCCACAGGAATAAGATGCGCATTGATTCAGGGTCAGATTCCTGGTGGAGTCCTGGCGACTTGTGTTCTTTGTTGTTGTTTGTTTCTTTTTCAAGTCTGGAGATGTTGGGGAGAGGAAGTCCATCTCACTCTGTAGCCAGGCTGGCCTTGAAGAGGCAGCAATCCTCCGACCTCTGGTCCCTGAGTGCTGGGATTCCAGGTGTGAACCAGCACCTGGCCCATTGTGTGCTTCCGTGCGTGGGTGTGTGTGTTTTTCTGGGTTTTTGAGGCAAGGTTAGCCCCAGCTGGTCTGGAATTCTGTGTAGACCAGATTTCTCTCTCTCTCTCTCTCTCTCTCTCTCTCTCTCTGTGTATGTGTGTGTTTCTGTTTCCATTTTTTGAGGAAGGTTAACCCCAGCTGGTCTGGAATTCTATGTAGACCAGGCTGGCCTACATCTCAGCGTGCCTCTGCCTCCCAAGTGCTGGGATTAAAGGCATGTGCAGCATGCCCAGCTCTTTTTCCAGATTTTTGAGTGCTGTTCAGAGGTCTGCCTAGTGCAGCTAACTTGGTAGTCCACAGCCTTCCATCTGCTCCTGCTTAGAAGCAGCTTACCACCCACTGCTGTAATCTTAGTCCTAGCCCTCACTTCTTTTTCTAGGGTTTGTGTCCAGTCTGCTTAATGGCAGAATAAAGGTGGGTCACCATTCCATAGCATGCTGTCTTGCTGTCCATTTTCTGAGCTAAAATAAAATAAGTACTCCCATCGTACATCATGGTTTTGTCCTGTGGACATCTTTTGACTGTTCTGTATGGGTTAATGCAGAAAGCAAGGGTTGGGGAGGGGAGACGTAGTGGGGTGTAGAGGAGACATGCTCTTTCTAACCCCAGGAAAAGGATTTTCCTATGTGCAGCAGAGGAGAAACTGATTGGACACAAGTAGTGGTGCCACAGGATGAGGGAAGGGCACGAGAGAGGAGAAAGACAGCGGGATGTATTTTCCCCTAACTTGGCTGCAGGGATAGCCTGCAATTGTCAGTACTGTTAGTTAGACTTGTATACTTTTGTAACATAACCATTCAAGATAGAAACTATCTTTAAAAAAAAAATTTACTGCGTTTATTTATTTGTATGTATGTGTGTGGCGGTCAGAGGACAACTTCAGGAGTAGTTTTCTCCTTCCACTGTGTGGGTCCCAGGGATCAAATCCAGTTGTCAGCAAGCACCTTTACCCAGTGAGCCATCTTACCAGCCCAAAGATAAAAACTTTCTAAAATTTGAAATAATGTTGTAGCTTATATGTACCCCCCCCCCACTGCCCTGAATACATAGCAGTATTTCTTCTCTCTAAATTTTAAATCAATTTTTTCCATATTTTTTTATTTTATGTATTTTTTATTTTTTGTTGAATTTTTGCAGTTTTCATAAAATATATTTGATGGTGTTTAGGTTCCCTCCCCCGTCCAAACCTCCCCTTATTGCCCCCTGCACAGCCCAATTCAGTGTACTCTGTCATATATAATAAGGCCTATAGAGTTCCCCAAATGTTCTCCGGTGTGGGTCTATCCATCTGAGCCTGATTACTTACTGAGAGTCCATCCTTGAAAGAGATTGTCTCTGCCCCTCCCAGTAGCCATTGGTCGCCTAAATTTCCTTAGGTTGGATTGGGGTGTCTTACCTGCTTCCCCTTATAAATTGATTTTTAAACATTTTTGTGTGTATGATGTGTGTGTGTGTGTGTGTGTGTGTGTGTGTGAGAGAGAGAGAGAGAGAGAGAGAGAGAGAGAGAAATGTGGGCATACACATTCTACAGCATGTGTGGAGGTTGGAAGACAACCTCCGATGTTAGCTATGCCATTCCACTTTGTTTGAGACAGGGTCTCTGTTCTGTAGGCCTGGCTAACTGGCCTGCCAGCTTCCAGGGAGTCTCCTGTCTCTGCCTCTCACCTCACTGTGGGAGTGCTGGGACTGCAGACGGGCACCACTGCACCTGTCTATGGATTCTGGGGATCTGAACTCAGGTCCTCACTCTTGCAAGGTATCTGTTTAACCCACTGACCCATCTCCTCAGCCCATAAGTTGATTTTCTTTTTAAATTTAATGCTTATGTGGTTACTCTTAAAATATACTAGAACTAGCCAGGTCTGGTGGTGCATATTTTAATCCCAACACTCAGGAGGCAGAGGTAGATAGATCTCAGTGAGTTTTAAGGGCAGCCTTATCTATGTAGTGAGTTCCAGGTCAGCCAAGCCTACATAGTGAGACACAGTCTCAAAAAAAAAAAAAAAAAAAAAAAAGACATGTATATGTACTAGAACTAAAAGTGGAAAGGTTCTATGGTTTTGAAAGGTATTGATGTGTGAGTGTGGAAGCTTGATGTAGGATGTTGTTCAGCGCTGTCCTGATGCTGTGCTGGAGATTAACTGTGGTCTCATACAGGCTGCTCGGACCCAGGGAGTGGACTGCCTTGTGGCTCCGTATGAAGCTGATGCTCAGTTGGCCTATCTTAACAAAGCTGACATTGTACAAGCTGTGATTACGGAAGATTCTGATCTCCTTGCATTTGGCTGTAAGAAGGTACTAAACTGCAGCTACTCCGTACTGTACATGATGTGGGTAAAAGAGCTGAAGATTTTCCTTTCCAGGAATAACTTTTATTCCTTTCATTTAATCTTAACGTATACCTATTTTTATAATGCTCATTTTTAGTTTTGCTAGTTCATGCTTCAGTACTCTGGTTTCTTTAAGGCTGAAGAGCTTTGCTTTATACACATTTTGCTTTTGTTTTGTGGTGTTGGTAATCAAACCCAGGGCCTTGTGTATGTTAGGCAAGTGTTTACCACCAAGCTACATCCCATCTGGTGAATTCTTTAATAGAATATACATTTACCAGTTTCACTTTCTGTGTGTGGTTCTACATTCAAACCAGGACCTCCAATATCCTAGACAAGTACCACTAACCACCTTCAGCCTTCTTTTTATTCTTGATTTTGTGACAGGGTCTAAGATACCCAGGCTGGCTTTGAACTCACTTTATAGTTTGGGCAGTCCTTGAACTTGAGATCGTCCCTCTTCCTCAGCTTCCTGTATGGGATGATAGACCTGTACCATGAGGCCCAGCTAACTTCACTTCTTAATAATAATAGTAATAATAACATACGCCTTACTTTTTGTATTATGTGAGGTAAATTATCTACAACTTGGGTATTAGAATTTATATGTAAGGGGGAAGGAGAGATGGCTCAGCAGTTAAGAACACTGGCTGCTCTTCCAGATGACCACAGTTTAGTTCCCAGCATCCACATGGCAGCTAACAGCTGTCTATAACTCCAGTTCCAGGGCCTCCATGGGCATTGCACACACGTACATTTACATACATGCATGCAAAGTACTTATAAAAATAAATATAGCAATGCCGGGCATGGTGGCTCATGCCTTTAATCCTAGCACTCGGGAGGCAGAGGCAGGTGGATCTCTATGAGTTCAAGGCCAGCCTGGTCTACACAGTGAGTTCCAGGACAGCTGGGGCTACAGGGAGACCCTGTTTCAAAAAGACAAAAATAAATAAATAAATAAATAAATAAATATAGCAAAAAAATTTCCAAGAACACAGGTTTGGGGATTTAGCTCAGTGGTAGACTGCTTGCCTAACAAGGGAAAAGCCCTGGGTTCGATCCTCAGCTCTGGGAAAAAAAAATGAAAATTTGAAACATAATGCATAAGATAATTTAGGGAAAAACTTCGTAATGGTCTTTGGGGAGGGAATTAAGATAAAAAACCATAGAGTGAGTTCATTTTTCTTAATAGCTGTAATGTTTATAGCACCTTTATCCTCATAGTTGCTAGAAAGATGCATATCAAAATGTTAACGCCGGATAGCTGATAAGTGAGATACAGTGTTGCTTTTCTTCTTAAATTTCCATGTGTCTCATATTTCCTGCAGCAATTATGTGTCACGTTGATAATTATAAAATTTGATCACTTGAGAATGTAAAAGAAGGTAAGGAGTGTCTGTATTTTCGTGTTCAGTACAGAGCAAGAAGGAGTCCTTAGAATTGTTTCTGTGAATTAGATAATGGCAATAAAGTGGACTTTCCACAATAAAGTGGAAATTGAGTTAACAATTTCCCCTCCCTTTGAAGGTGATTTTAAAAATGGATCAGTTTGGAAATGGACTAGAGATTGACCAGGCACGGCTAGGCATGTGTAGACAGCTTGGGGATGTGTTCACAGAAGAGAAGTTCCGCTACATGTGTATTCTCTCAGGCTGTGACTACCTCTCCTCCCTGCGTGGGATTGGCTTGGCCAAGGCTTGCAAAGTGCTGAGACTGGCCAATAACCCGGATATCGTAAAGGTGAGGGAGACTTCCAATTTCTTTCTTTCTTCCTTTCTTTTTGTTTTTTAAAAAAAAAAAAAATTCATTTATTTTTATTTTTTGTGTATGTGTTTTGCCTGCATGAATGTAAGTACACTACATGCATTCATTGCTCATGGAGGCCAGAAGAGGGTATTGGATCCCCTGGAACTGAGTTATGGATGGTTTTTAGCTGTCATGTGTGTTTTTGGTACCAAACCTAAGTCCTCTGCCAGAGCAACCAGTACTCTTAACTGCTGAGTCATCTCTCCAGCCCCAAAGACTTTCAGTTCCTGGAACGTTTGTTAAGTAGTAGGATGAACACATTATGAATTTTAATTATTAGATCAATAGAGTGTGTAATGTTATTGAAAGGGAAAAAATGACTAAAATGCTAGAACTTTTGGCTTCCATCCTGTTTCCTAGGTGTACTGAGTTTCAGAGTTTCTGCTAAGTTCTGTGTGGTACCCTGGTACCTCACGTGCCTTTAATCCCAATGTTTAGGTGGCAGAGGCAGGAGCTCTGAGTTCCAGGCCAGCTTGATCTACATAGCCAGTTCCAGGCCAACCAGTGCTACAGAATAAGATGCTGTCTCAAAAAAAAAATAAATAAAAGTTCTGTGTGGTAATAATTTTTGATTATGTGGGTTGTGGTTATTGATATATGCTCACATGACTTTATCAAAGCTTGCCAGAGTTTTCAGAGCATAAAAGGAGGAAGAATTCTACATTTATTGCAAATCTCTGTTCAACATGGCTTGAGAGGAGATGGGACTTTGATCGCTTCCTTCCATCAGTCTCATTCTGTATTAGGTGGCCACAGAGAAGCTGTCACCACTACACACATACACACACACACCCCACCTGTCACATTTGCAGAGTAGAAACCCTCTCTTCCCATTTCAGAAGTAGAAAGTGAATCCTCAGTGCTAAAAGTACTAATGGGATGGGAAGAGCTCTGAGCTGGACCTGAGACCCAGGTAGGAACAGAGAAGCATGCCTGCCAGCCTGTGCACTGCAGGTCTCTGGATTTTCGCTTTATCTATGAGTTTTCTATAGAATCATGTGTCCATTCATGACAAGATAAGTTGTAGGAACCTGTCATTGGGCACTTTTGTGGTTGTGTGAACATCATCAGTGTGCTTTCACAAGCTAAGATGACTCTGAGGTTACAAGGCAATATAATCTTCAGGAGGCCACATCTGTATGTGCTGTGTTGTTGGATGTGGTGGTGCATATCTGTAATCCCACTCTTGGGTGGTGGAGGAGGCAGGAACATCAGAAGTTCAGGGTTATCCTCATCTACACAGCAAGTATGAGGCCAGCCTGGGCTATGGGAGATCCTTGCTCAATTAAACAAAAAGCAAAAAATATTATGTAGTATATGACTATAATGTTTAAGACCTATTCCAGCTGTAAGCATCCATGGCTCATAGAAATTAGAATGCTGGCTTCACACAGTCCAGGGCTGACAAGATAGTTCAGTGGTTATAGTAGCGCTTATTTTCTTGCAGAGGACCTAAGTTCTATTCCCAGCATCTATATTAGGCAGCTTACAACCACCTGTGGCTCCAGCTCTGTGGAATCCTATTGTTAGGAATAGGAATTTAAAGCTGAGAACTCTTTCCTGTTTTCAGCACTAAAATGTTAGGAATGGGAGTGGAAAGAGTTGCAGGTGGAAAGGAAAAGTAACTGGCCTCAACAGTCCAGATTGACCTGTATTAGTCAATGACAGCTAACTATTGACCAGTGGGTTTACAGTAGCCACACAGGCCAAACAGTAAGGGAGCTTAAGTACACTTGTATATATGTAAAGGATTTACATCTCCCCTTCCCCCCACCCCCAAATAATGGTCAGGACCTGTTTGCAGAGCAGAAACTGCTTTATGATTGGGGTCTGTGGGGGTCTTGATGGACTCGTTTGCAGAGCAAGAATTGTTCTATGATTAGAGGGTTTTATGGGGCTTCTCTTTACTATGCCTCTGGCTTCTGAGGGCACCTTATTCACATGTATATACCTACATGCAGACACACATGCATATAATTTTAAAACAAAGCTAAGAATACTTGGTTTTTAAAGTTATTTTATTAGTATGTGTGTTTGATGAACCTGTATGTGCACACGTGGAGGTCATATGTGCACACGTGGAGGTCAGAGGATAACTTTCAGTGTCAGTTCTTTCCTTCCTCTGTGCTATCTGGGGATCACACTCAAGTGTCAGTTGGCACAGCAAGCACTTTTACCTACTGAGCCATCTTGTCACTGTCTCTTGACTTTAAAAACATTTTTTTCTGATTTTATTTTTTTTTTATTTTATGTGTATTCCTGTATTGCCTGCATGTAGGTAAGTGCACCCGTGTCGTGCAATGCCTGTGGAAGAGAGAAGAGTTCCAGGATCCCCTGGAACTGGAGTTATAGACAGTTGTTAGCTGCCATGTGGGTTCTGGGATTCGAACCTAGGTCTTGAATAAGAGCAGTCAGTGTTCTTAACCACTGAACCATTTTCCAGCCCCTTAAAAAAATTTTTAGCATCATTTTGTGTGTGCCTACACACACATACATGCACATGTGTACCACAGGATACTTATAGATGTCATAAAACTGTTTTGAGGTTCAGTTTTCTCCACCATGGGTTGCAGTGATCAAACTCAGGTGGTCAGGCTTGAGTAGCAAGTGCTCTTACCCACTGAGCCATCTTGCTGCCCCTGCCCCCACTTATTTTTAGAGATAGGGTCTCTCTCATGTATACCAGCCCTTAAGCTTGCTATGTAGTCAAGGATAGCCTTGAACTCCTTAGTCCTCATTTTTATTGTTTGTTTTCTGGATTAAAGGATGGATAGTGCATCTTAAACTTAGAAACATATGCTTGACATATAACTGAAATTTTGGTCTTTTGAATGAGTAATGGACAAATCAATGAAACTTAGAATTTTAAGTGATGTGACATAGCTATGTTTTCTATAGATAAAAGCAATTGATTTTCATGGGGTTAATACATACTCTGTTTTTTTAACTGCAGATGAAATATTTTTATATCCATTGTTAGGTCATCAAGAAAATTGGACATTATCTCAAGATGAATATAACAGTACCGGAGGATTACATCAAAGGATTTATTCGAGCCAACAATACTTTCCTTTACCAACTAGTTTTTGATCCCATCAAAAGGAAGCTTGTCCCTCTGAATGCCTATGAAGATGATATCGACCCGCAGACACTGAGTTATGCCGGGCAGTATCCTTTCTGAGCCTCGGTGGTTGAATTTTGCACTTGTTCTGTTAGTGTTTGTAGTTCAGTAGTAGAAATGATCACGTTTTGCTCATCTTAATTACCATGCTAATTATCAGATAGAGTTTTTGTTTATGAACCCAAGACTCATCTGTAACAGTAATTGCTTAGGTGGACTTGACAGCTACAGGCACGGGGTCAACCACTCATTGCACGTGTTTGAAAGATATCACTTGAGAGCCTTTGAGGCAAGCAAGTGCAATTCTCCAGGAGGGTATTCTAGATGCCTGTCACTAGCCTTCAGGCTGCGGAGTTCTGAATCACTTAGGTGGCAACTAAAATGTCCCCATATCTCCCTTGAAAGGGACGAAGTGATGGACTTCCCTTCAGAGGATGGCCAGCTCCTACAGGGATATAGGCCAGTGAGCCATGCCTGTGGTTTCAGTGAGGCAGGTGGGCACAGTAAATGGGATCCATGTAAATCATAACCCTTCATGGTTTCCTGTGATAGTAGAGAGCATTCTCATTCTTAATGCAGTATGGTTGATTGCTTATTAAGACATTTTTCCTTGGGGCTGGAGATGGATCAGATGGCTGCTCTTGTAGAGGACCCAGGTTTGATTCCCAGCACCCACATGGTGATCAACAACCATCCTTAACTCCAGTTCCAGGGGATCTGACCTCCATGGGCATTGCATGATGTGGGTGCACTTCCACACTGGCAGGCAATATGCTCATACACATAAAATAAAAATGCTAAAATATTTTTTAAAGGCATTTTTCCTTAATCTTACCTACCTAGGTATGTTGATGATTCTGTAGCTCTTCAAATAGCACTTGGAAATAGAGATATAAATACTTTTGAACAGATCGATGACTACAATCCAGACACTGCTATGGTAACATTTTAACAACTGCTATATAAAAGCACATTTTAGTTTCAAGAACTATGAGGCAAACTTTCTTCACTGTGTGTCTTTGAAGCATTTCTGTGTCATGTACTGTGCAGTGTGCATAGAAAGCAACTTAATCTGGTGTGGCACACACCTGTAATCCCAGAACTCAGGAGGCTGAGGCAAAAAGGTTGCCACAAGTTCAGGGATAGCCTAGGTTACATAGTAAGACTGTCTCAAAAAAATCAACTTGATCCTAGAGAAATTATCTCTTAAAATGAAGGTATAATAAGTTATTTTAAGTGAAAAAGACTGAAAATACATATTTTCAAGGCTTGAGCTTTTGATGCAGCTGTGATACATTCAGTACCTTTTTCTCATCTTACCGCTTTCAGGCTCTATGGCCTGAATTTGGCATCCTGAAAACCCAGAACAAGCTGAGTTAAGCCATTCAGGGTCGTTCATAAATACACAAAGATTTGACGAGTGCCCTTCTGTGTGTCTCAACCCTTTTTTGTTTTCTTCATTGCATATACTCTTTTAAATGCTGCGTCCTATTAGTCTCTCCTTTCTCTTTATGTTTTTGTTCATATTTATTTTGTCCATAATTTTTTTATTCTATGAGAATTTCAAAGATATATTCTGTGTTTTCCCATTATGCATAGAACCTGAGTTCATTTCTTGTTTGTGTGTGTGTGTGTTTGTGTATGGCAGGGCAGGATGGGATGGGATGGAATGGGGTGGGTGGCATTTATTTATTTATTTATTTATTTATTTATTTATTTATTTATTTTGGTCTTTTTGAGTCAGGGTCTCCCTGTAGCCCCAGCTGTCCTATGTAGACCAGGCTGGCCTTGAACTCAGAGATCCACCTGCCTTTGCCTCCCAAGTGCTGGGATTAAAGGAATGTGCCACCATGCCCAGCAGGGGTGGGTGGTTTTTAAACAGAGTCTCACTATGTATCTCTGGCTGGTCTTGAACTCACAGAGATCCACCTGCCTCTGCCACTGGAATGCTGGAATTAAAAGTGTGTTCCACCATGCCCAGCTCTGTTGTTCTTTTTGTTTGGGGAAATCATTAGTGAAAATAGGAAATTGTTGACTCTGCCATCTTTCCACAGTTGATAGTGGTACTGTCAGTTACCAGGAAGGCTGCTGAAGGCTTGTGTTCAAGCCTAGAGATGGTTGTAATGCATGTGTGGTTTGAAAGGCCCGTTTATGGATTACCAGGATGGCGGGGATGCAGAAGCCAAAATCCATGCAGAACTTTTCTTTTTTATAGGGAATTGGGTTGTAGGTTGTATTGTTTGATCTTATGTGTCTTTCCTGGTCTGGTTTCTACTTGCCTATTTCTTTTTTTCGGTAGATGCATCTGTGGGATTTAACATTGAGCGCCCGTACTCTTAGGCTATCTTTTTACACTCGTTCCCTTTTTTTGGTAATCCTCAGAGAATGTCTTGAATATTGTCATCTTACTTTTCCTTTTACGTTCTCTTCAAGTGAAAGGCTTATGTTTGATTTATGTGAGAGTTGGTCACATGGCATTGGTGCCTCAACTTTCCTGTGTCTTGATTTTGTGGTCTCAGCTATACTCGGAATATCGTTGACAACGTTTTACCAGATGAGTGTCTTCTGTACTGATTATAGAAATATATGAGCAAAACTGATACCTCACCAACATTAAATGGCATTGTGCCCTTTCTCAGGAGTTTTTTGCAAGACTTGGTGTACACCAGAGTAGCTTTCTCAGGATCATACCAAGTTTGGTCTGACACAAATTAGTTCTTTCTAACCTAGATTGACATATGGCTCAACAATTTCTAACTAGGCTTGGTATCTCATGGCTGTAATTCCAACATTTGCAAAACTGAGACAGGAGTTCATCAGCCTGGTCACATGAGATACTGTCTCCAATAAATAAAGGAAATAAAAATAAATTTCTGAGTAAGGAAGTTGAGTCCTGTAAACATATAACAGGGTTCAAAACTGCCAAGTGCATTTCAAAGGCTGTATAGATGATTATTTGGAGGCATATTGCCATATGATTATTTAATTGTTTAATAATCAGACTTTAGAGGCCTTTTCACTGGCCCCATTTCTTCAATTGTCTTTCTTACATTGCTCATTTTAGGAAGGTGTTTTTGTTTTTTTGTTTTTTTGTTTTTTTCCTTTCTTAGAAATGAGCCTGTGGTAATTTGATTCTCTGGAAGAAAAGAGACCTGGGAACATGAGGCATGTTTAATGAAGTATCCGAGATTAGCAGAGAAAGTAAAAATGTTATTAGAGGACACGTACTTCATCAGAACCCGTCCCTCTCTCCCTCCTCTCTCCCTTCCACTCCCTGCTTGGCTCCCTCCAGGTTTATGCCAGCTAGGCAAGCACTCCACCACCGAACTGTATCCCCAGCCCCCTTTTTGTATTCATTATTTTGGAATTGTCTCTCACTAAATCTCCCAGGTTGGACCTGAGCACACTATACCTCACGCAGGACCTGAACACACTATACCTCAGGCTGGCCTTGAACTTGCAGCCCTCCTGCCTCAGCCTCCTGAGTAGCTGGGATTACGGCCTGCATCACCAGGCGAAATTCAAAAACTTTGTAAACAGTAATTTAACACATTTATAACATAAGCTGATACAGAGGGAAATTACATTTTTCTTATTCAAATAACCTTTCTCCTTGTACTTTCCAGCCTGCCCTGTCAAGAAGTCATAGCTGGAATGACAAAGCAGGTCAGAAGTTGTCTACTGCTGATAGCATTTGGCACAGGAATTACTGCCCTAGACTTGAGATGGATGTCATTTCACAGGCTACACGGTTGAAGGAAAATCGAAGTACTGTGGACGTTAGACAAGTGATTAGTGCTAAAGGGTTAAATCTTCCCAGGAAGTCAGCTGTGGTGAAAAGACCAAGAAATGGTATGTATTTTCATTTTTGTGAAATACTAATGATTGTTGGGACCGGAGAGGTGGCTCAGCGGTTAAGAGTACAGACTGCTCTTGCAGAGGACCCAGGTTCGATTCCCAGCACCCACAGGGCTATGAACCATCCTTAACTCCAATTCCAGGGGAATCCGTAGCCCTGAAGCCCTCTTCTGACCTCCGCGGCATTGCACGACACGGGTGCACTCACATACGTGCAGGCAATACACTCATACACATAAAATAAGAATAATAAATATTAAAAAAAATACTAATGATTGTTGGTCATATTTAAGAAATGTTTTCCACCAGGCATGGTGGCACATCCCTTTAAATCCTAGAGCTTAGGAGGCAGAGGCAGGCAGAATACTGTGAGTTTGAGGCCCGCCGGGCTACACAGTAAGACTTTATTTCAATGCCAGGCATGGTGGTGCATGCCTTTAATCTTTTTTTGGACTTTTTGAGACAGGGTCTCCCAGTAGCTCCAGCTGGCCTGGAATGCTCTATGTAGACCAGGCTGGCCCTGAACCCACAGAGATCGCCTGCCTCTGCCTCCCAAGTGCTAGGACTAAAGGCGTGCACCACCACGCCCGGCCTGAAAAAATCATCGACTCTTATTCTGCACTGTGGCTGTCAGTATTGATCTTTACATCAAACATGTTTTTGATTACTGAAGCTTTCTAGCATATCTTGAAATCAGGTGCTATAAAGCTCCTGTTCTGCTGCTGAGCAGATGATTTGGGCTATTTGTCTTCATCCTGTTTCCATATAGATTTTAGGTTGTCAAATTCTTTAAAGTGGGGAGGGGATTTAATTAAATCAATAGGTCAATGTAGAGCAAGTTGACAATCATAATACTGACTGTCTTCAACACTCGGTGTTTGGATGCTGTATATCCATTGTCAGTTTATCCTTATATATAGTTCAGAATTTTTTTTAGGCTTTTGTAAGTGATTTTTTTTTCAGTTCAGTTTCTAGTTCATGCTAACAGAAATTTGGTCGATTTATTTTTATTTATTATTGTGTGTGTATGATGTGGGGGAAGACACTTGTGCCTTGGTGTTGCATGTAGAGATTTGGCTTTCTGCTTCCACCCTGCCATGGGATCTTGGGTCGGGCTCAGGTGGTCGGGCTTACACATCCAGCACTTTACCCAGAGATCTTGCCAGCTGAGCACAATTGATTTTTCTACGTTTTAATCTCACAGTTTGAAACTCAAAATACTGGACCAAGTTCAATCCCTGTTGTCCTTCAGATATTTTGAGACAGCAATTGTGACACATCTCAGTTTCTTTTTCAGGCCAAAAGTTCCTTTTCTTTTGAGGCTGTGCTTTGATATAATTGAGTTCTTTAATAATTGTGTAACTGTTTCTGGGAAAGTAACTGTTAGGTATGGTCTGCCACCCAGAGAGCAGTGACTACTTACACTTGTTGCACTTTAAGCCCTCATCCAGAAACTGCTTTCATTATTGCAGAGTGAGGTTGCATTAACTTTTATTTGTCTGCTTATCATTTTTCTGGCATTTGCTGAGCTTATAGTTGAGTTCCTCCAATTTCAAATACAGTGATATTTATTTTAAACTTATGTGTGGGTCACCTTCTTAAAGCTATGACCCTTATATCTTAAATTTTTGGTTACATTGTTTTTGCTTACAAAAGATTTAGGTGAATTAAAGCAAGTACAGTCCTCGAGAGCACAGGACCTTATTCTTCTCAGGCTATCAGCGAACTGTAGTCTGTTAGGCTGGACAACTTGCTACAGATTCATGTACTTAATAGGTAACAGGTGCTGCTGTATGCAGTGCACTAGGATAGCAAGAGATGCTGAGGTTTCTGACTGAACTCAAGATATGCTCGTCTTTGCAGAATTCCCCTGTGTAGCTGCACTGCTGTGTTTACTGTACAGTACCACATTACAGCAGTGCTTAAAGACAGCATGACTTGTAGCATCCGTTTTTAAGTCACGAGCAAACTTGGCTTGCTGAGAATCTGTTCCTTCAGAATTTGCTCAGAACTGTGCCCCCAAACAAGGGCTCACTTTTCCTTGTCAAAATAGAATGTCCAGCATGAAATGGGGAAGAATGGAACTGTTGTACACACACATAGCCATAAACAGATGTTACCAGTTTCATTTTACTTGCAATGAGATAAGCACTGTGTGCAGTGCTTGGTATGTAAAACACACACATGTACATTCATACATTATTTTGAGACGCCTACAGAAGAAACACAGGTGCACACATTTACAGATAATTCTGCCTTTTATTTAGAAGAGCTGTCAGAAGATGATCTGTTGAGTCAGTATTCTCTCTCATCGACAAAGAAGATCAAGAAAACTAGCTGTAGTGATAACAAATCTCTGAGCTCTTCTGAAAGGTCTGCATCCATCCGGGATGAAGGAACTGCTCAAACAACAGACTCACACATACCGCCTAGGACAAGAAATAAATTTGCAACGATTTTACAGCGGAAGAATGAACAGAGTGGTGCAGTGGTGGTTCCAGGGACCAGAAGCAGGTAGAGTTGTTCTCGAATGCCCTTCTGTTTGTGCTCTTGTTACTTATTTTCTATACAATTAACATTGACTGTGGTGGGGAGGGTAGGCATAGGACTTCCCTTAGTCTGCTTACATCTTTCATGTGCAACAGGTCCCAGCATATGTTGGTTGAAATCTCTTCACCTTAAAATGGTGGTGTGAAAGTGATACATACCGGACTGGTTTTATGTGGTGTGACTCGTTCATGATGCTGGGTATCTGCAGCAAACCAGAGCTCTCGGCTTGCATTCACAAAGGAAAGGCAAAGCTTGTAGGCCTGGTGTATTAAATATAACTTCAGCTTTAATACTTATTTACATAAGCCTCTTGCATGCGAAGATTTTGTTAGTTGCCTTATGTCTTAGTTACTTTTCCCGTTGCTAAGGCAAAAGCAACTTCAGGAAGGAAAGGTTTGTTTTGGCCTACATTTCAAGGGTACAGTTCATCATGTTAGTGAAGTCAAAGTGACAGGATTGAGGCAGCTGGTCACATTGCATCTGAAGGCAGGAATTGGAGAACAGGGATGCTGTTGCTCACTGCTTTTTGCTGTTCTCCTTTTCATTTAGTCCAGGACATCAGCCCATGAAATGGTGCCATCCACATTAGGGGTGGTCTTTTACCTCAATTAGCTCAATCAAGAAAATCCCTCAAAAAAAAACCCAGAAAAACATTGCTGTTCCCTTTCACGTCCATCAGTTCTGTCATCTGTCCACACAGAATCCCAGTAGCTGCTGTGAATTCATTTGCACTGTAGAAATTCTGTTATTTTGGAGTTCTTTCCATTTTTCATTGTATTTTCTTTCATGGGTTTTTGAAGTTCTTGATACCATTTTGCAAAGTATTTTCAGGTACATATTAAAATAGGGATGATATATTAAATATTAAATAAAATAGGGATGATACATATTAAAATAGAAGGCTGGCTCTTTGGGTGAAAGCAGTTGCTGTATAAGCATGAAGACCTGAGTTAGACTCTCAGAACCCACGTAAAAGGCGGGTGTTTGATGCAGTGTCTATAATCCTAGTGCTCACACACGGGATGGGAAGTGGAGGACAACAGATTCCCCAGAAGCTCACAGGCCAGCTACTGTGGTGTATGCAGCGGAAAAGCCATGGAGACCTTGTCTCAAATAAGGTAGAAAGGACCAACACCAAGGATTGTACTCTGATGTCCACACACATCCACGTTCACACACGTGTGTATACATACATACATACATACAATTTTAAAATGCATGAATGGCTAGAGTTGTAATACCAAGAACCTGAGGCCATGTTGGATGCTATGGCTACAAAAGTTAGACATAGCTTTTGTTCCTGAGACATCTATAGCCTAGTTGGAAAAATAAGTATATAAACAAAAACTTTCTATGTTGTGTGATAAGTAGAGTAATCGAGGTCTCTGTAAGGTTTGGAGGCTGTTCAGGGGGCATACAATACGGGGCTCTGGTTTGAATGGGCTGAGGAAAGAGATCATCGTTGATTGTTGCTCCTGTGGTTTAATGAATGGTGAGTGGAGCAGATGAGAGCAGAGGAATGGGCTTGATGGCTACTTTGGCTATTGGTTGCTGCTGGTGGTGTTGAAGGAACAGGAATGGGCTGGAGGGGAGGCCATTTCACAGAAGGCTTGTGTGCCAGAAACAACCTTTAGTGGTCCTTGGAAGTGGGGGCAGCATACAGAGAGTTAATAGTTAGGGACAGATTCCATGCTGAGTTTTGATAGGCCACTCAGCACCCACTGAAAATAAGTATATAAACAAGGCCAAAGTATATAAACAGGGCCAAAAGCAGGCCACAAAGTTCTGGTTGGTTAGGCTGTTGCCATAGTCTCTGTGGATAAATACGAGGGTTTTTAGGTCAGTAAAATTGGATATTAGGAATTTCGAACCTGGCAGGTGACCTGAGTTTTCACTCTTACCCTGTTTACTCATGACATGCTTGACCTGAGCAAGTCCTGAGTATTTCCTCTCCACTTCCAAAAAGCAGGCTTTCCAAAGTGTTGAGCTCAGTGCAGGCGGCTCCCCTGTTCTGGTAATTAAACTTTGGGACATTGAAATGGGCTTGGAGAGCTATTGGATAGAAGTGTTACTCTATTCATTTACCTCCCACCCTACAAACAAGAAAAAAGGCTGGGTGGGGGGGCAGACACCAGACACACAGGTATTATAACAACCTCAGGGTTGAGACAAGTGAGTTAGTATAAGTGAATGCCTTGGATGGCACCTGACAGGTGATAAGCACACCATCAGTAACTGTTATGTTGACTGTGGGTGATTGTACTGTTAATCCTTTGTGTCAAACTGACAAACTTTAGTGTTTCTTAGAAGTGACAGGTGGTGTTTAGAGGGTTTTAATCCAGAGAGGGGCTGGTTTGATACTGTATCAGTTACTTTTCTGTTGTTAGGATAAAATACCATGGCCAAGGCAACTTACAAAAGGGTTTGTTTGGCTTACCATTCCAGAGGGATAGGAGTCCATCATGGCAGGGAGGCGTGGCAGCAGAGGTGGCTGGAGCAGAAAACAAGTGGTCACATCTTCAAGCAGGCACAGGATGCAGAGAGAGCCAGACTGGAAGTGGCCATGGCTGTAGATTCTCAAAGCCCACCCCCAGTGATGTGCTTCCTCCAGCATGGCCACACCCCCTAATGGTTCCATGACCCTCTCAACAGAGCCAGGAACTGGGGACCAAGTGTTTAAATACTTGGAACCTATGGGGGAACACTCATTCAAACCACCACATATACTGATTTTAGATCAGCCACTCTGAACACCCAGTGAAGATGGATGTGAGAGGGCCAAAGGTGGAACATAACTAAATGCCACAAACTAGGTAATTTATGAAGGGTAAAAGTTTATTCATTGTGTCCTTCCCAGAGCTGAAAGTCCAAGAGCTTGGTGCTAGCATCTGCTTGGCCTAACTGCCACATTGTGAGAGTAAGCGTGCTACCTCAGATCTTCTCTTTTTGGGTGGGGGGGCAGTGTTTGGGACAGGGTCTCCCTGTAGCCCCAGCTGGCTTGGAACTCACTATGTAGACCAGACTGGCCTGGAACTCACAGAGATCTGCCTGCCTCTGCCTCCCAAGTACTGGGATCAAATGTGTGGACCACCTCACCTGGCAGGTCTCCTTTTTATAAAGCCACCCATGCTGTCACCTGAGTTGTGACTTCATCCAATTCTGATCACCTCCCAGTGGCCTCACTTCCAAACCCCATTAACTTTGGAATATGAGGATTAATTTCCTAATACATGGACTTTAGGCAAAGACATTGAAACCCTCAAAGGTACAACCTATGAAAGGAGACGTGATTTTTAGAAGTCATCTAGCCGTGACATAGTAACTCTTCTCTTGGTTTTTGTTTTTTTAGGAAGGCTGGTTTTGAACTTCAGATACTCCTTTGGGATGCACCACCATGCCCAGTTTAGTAACTATTTCTTCTTTTGAGACAGGGTCTAATGTAGCCTAGGCTGGCCTTGAACTTTGTGTAGCTGAAGATGACCTTGAACTCCTGATCCTCCTTCCTCTACTTGCCAAGTTCTGGGATTACAGGGTTATGCTCAGCACATCCCATTCTGACTTAGTAACTCTAAAGAAAGAAAATTTTGTCAGCCCCTGTATTCGTTGTGTGTGTGTGTGTGTGTGTGTGTGATGCATATATGGGTACATGAGCCATGGCACATGCATGGGTAGTTAGTTCTCTCTTTTTACCTTTGTCATGGATTCCAGGGATCAAAGAAAGGTCATTGAACTTGGGTGGCAAGTGCTCTGACCTGCTGAGTCCTCTCTCCTGCCTCATTGTATTCACTTAGAAGACTTGGATCGAGTGTGCTTTGTTTTCTAGTTTTGAGCATTTAGGCTGCAGTGAAAGGGGGATTTGAAGGATGGAGTCTGGGGTAATCCCTGAGCCTCCCATCAAGTCTGTCAAATCTCAGCACAGTTCGTTTGCATGGTCGTTTGGATTCTTTTGCTAGTCACCTCATTAAAGAAGCATTTCCACGGGGAATGATGAGAAAGTAGGTTGAGATCAAGAAGGATGACACTGGCTCTAGATGAAGTGCACTAAGTAAAAAGTTCCAGGAATTGACTTTTCTCACTTGAAGAAATTTGGGGGACTTGGCTTCCTTTTTCCTTTTAAATGAGAATAGTTTCCTTTTTCTGCTACTCAGTAGTGGTTTCTTCTTTGGACATACCCAGTAGGAGTAGCGTTTGTGCGTCTCTACAGGGCTTGCTGTTTTGTCATGGTAGGAGCTTAAGGCAATCTCCACGTTCAGGGATCCGTGTAGCTGCTTCACATGTTGTAGATGTTTCACTGGTAAATTGGTCAGATAAGCAGTAAGAAAAGTCCAGAGAAATGGTCTTTTTCTCCATCAGTTTCCTGTGACGTGAGAGTTGGGAGTAAGAGTAGATTCTTCTGACCTGGGTTTCACAGCAGTACCATTAGGTAGCTAGGTATTAAATTAGTCCCAAAGTTAATTTTTTAGTCAGATATGGCCATGCATGCCCATAATCCCAGCACTTGAGAGGTTGAGGCAGAAGGATCATGAGTTTGTTACTTGGGCTACCTAATGAGTTCCATGTTGGTCTGGGCTATGCACACAGTGAAGCTGTTTCAGAAAATTAAAAAACAAGGCTAGGGTTATGACTCAGTCCATAAAGTGTTGCCTTGCAAGCACAGGGGCCTCAGTTTGATCCCCCGAGCTATGTAAAAATGCCAGGCATTGTAACCCTAGCCCTGGGGAGACAGAGGAAGATTCCTGAGGCCTGCTGGCCAGCTCATCTTGCCTACTCAGTGAACTCCAGGTTCAGGGAAAGACACCGTCTCATAGGAAATGTGCAGTATTAATGAGGATGATATCCAAGGTTGTCCTCTGGCCTCCATGTACAACAACACACACATGTGGAGCACACACATACATGCACATGCATTTAAAAAGTAGTAATAAAGAAAAGATTCAAAAGTCATATGTACATTATCTTACTCCTCTCGCATGAGATAGCACAGAACTAAGGTTATGTTTGCTATTTCAGGTTAAGAGAGCAGTGCTCTGAAAGGTTCAATTTCCCAGGGTGTTCACAGTTAATGTGAGCCTTCTGACAGTTTGGGATTTAAAGTCTTATTCTATTAATTGATCTTTCACATGGCATTTAATTTCCCCAGCCTCTTGTAAAACATGGACCACCAGAGCTCAATAGAGCTCACTATAAGCTCTGTATGTGAAGCACCCAGTACAGTACTAGATCATTAACATATAACCAAGTGTTTAATGTCTTAATATAATGCAACTGAAATGTATTAAACATGATCTTTGCTCTGTGTTGTTTTAATTGTCTTTATTGTCAGTATTTTTCTAATAAATATTTGGTTCATCTTTTGTGATCTAGAAACATACATACATAGGTTAACTGGGAAGGAGCAGCCATGAACTGAGAGGCTTTGAGCTTTAATTCTGCTCTCTGACTGATAAATTTTGTAGCCTTGGGCTCTGTCTCTTCTCCCTAAATTTTGATGAAAGTTCAAGGTCTACATGGCTTTTATGTATGAAATTAGGTGTTTGGATCTTGACAGAATTGTGCATAAACTCTGAGATAATGAATATGCCCATTCTTCCTGTTGCTGGTTAGGTTCTTTTGCAGTTCTCCAGGTTTTGATGACTGTGTATCAGAGCGAGCAAGCAGCCAGACTCTGGGAGAAACTGCTCTTCCAGACAGAGCCAGCAGCCTTGACTG